CATGAGCCAGGAGCTCGGGCCGAGGTAAGGTGCGTGCGCGGGGCCGGGCTGCGAGGCGAGGAGGGCGCGGGCCGCGCCACCGCGGCGGCCACAATGAGCAGGGCCGGGGTGGGGGCTTGAGACTGCGCCGCCGCCGCCCGGGAGAGGCTTACGTAACCGCAGCCCCTTCCCCACCTCCCCCGCCCGCGGCCACCGGGCTCCGGCCCTGCCAGGCCTTCCGCAGCCCCTGGTCCCAGTGGCCAGCCTGATCGAGGCCTGCTCCTCACCGGCAACCCGGCGGGTCTGTGGGTCGGTTCCACCTGAGCCTCTGACCGGAACAGAGGCGTCTTGGGGGACAGAAATTGCAGCCCCAGCCCCCACCCCGCCGGGCTGGGTGAGGGCCTGGACTCCTTGCTGGGCTCTGGGCTCCCCTCCCAAGCTCCACGCGCCCCCGGGTCAATGTGTCAAGCGTTATATACAATTAAACCCCGGAAGGAGCCATGTGGATGTGTGGCCTGGGGGCTGGCCCTCCCTTTGACACCTTCTGAACGTGGGGCTTGGATAGAGGGAGTAGGAGGAGAGGGGAGAGGGCTGGCATGTTCCTGGTTCTGGAAGAGGAACTGGGCCTTGGCCAAGGCTGGACGGCCTCAGAAGGAAAACTGGGCACCCTGACATTTACTGGGGAGGGGTCTTGTGTCCTCCCGGGAGTTTGGGTGGGTGGGGAGAGTCCTCCACCCATCACCCCAGGAGAGAAGGCCTGACTATTGGAGTCTTGGGAAACCACAGCCCAGCGGTCACTCCTAGCTCCTCCTGGCCTCTGCACTGGGCAGCCTGATCTCCGCAGAATGAGCAGATGGCAATATCGCTCCACCTGCCCCCCCCACAGGCCCCTCCCCCACATTCTTCTCGTGTCAAGCCCACTGACCATGGTCAGCTGAGGACTTTCTGGTACTGGGCTGGACCCAGGGCCCCCTCTCCCAACCCGCTCCCTCGACAAGGTACTGGACAGTAGCCTCAGAGCAGAAGGCCTGGGCTGGGCTGGGCTGGGAGGCTGAGGGGGTTGGGGTCACCCAGGCCAGGGCAGAGACCTGATGGAGCCTGTCTGGACTTGCCAGAGGTGGCCATGGGGCTGGGCCAAGAGCCATCTGGAGGGAAGGAAAATTCAAGGCCTAGCTGTAAACATGGGCAGTGAAGAGCAACCCCAGGACTCAGCTGCCCCGTGCCTGCCACCTCCACTACCCGGCTCCCCTATCCCAACCACCCCTCACCTTGGGCCAGGCCTGTGAGCTCAGCACCTGCAATGCTGAGGACATTCATCAGCCAGACTCTCCCCTGCAGCTCACACCCACTCCTGGGGCATCTTTCTCCCACAGATGAGGAAAATAAGCAACCCGCTGGAGTGGGGGAGCCTGGGGCCCTCGAGCCAGCTAGACATGGACCCAGGAAGCCATGTGTTGCTGAGAGGCAGGGACATCCCACCCAGACGTGGAGAAAGGCTTCTCTTGGCTGGCACTGCTTAGCCACCCGCAGACCCTGTCTCCCCACACGTGGGAGCCCACTGTTGTGCCTTGGGCTGGTGCAGGGGTGTGGCAGCAGACAGCTCTGTGGGCCAAGGGGGTGGCCCAGAGCCTCCCCCACCAGCAGTCCAGGAGGAGCCAACAGCCAGTCCAGTGGCAGAGGGAGGGTGCAGGCCACATCCCCTCACTTGGTAGGAAAGAGAGGGAGGATGAGAAGCAGCTGCCCAAAGTGGTAGGAACGAGGGGCCCAGGCCTAGGCCTTGGGAGGGTTCGTGTTTCTTTTTTTTTTTTTTTTTTTTAAAAGTGGGAGCCCACTGTTGTGCCTTGGGCTGGTGCAGGGGTGTGGCAGCAGACAGCTCTGTGGGCCAAGGGGGTGGCCCAGAGCCTCCCCCACCAGCAGTCCAGGAGGAGCCAACAGCCAGTCCAGTGGCAGAGGGAGGGTGCAGGCCACATCCCCTCACTTGGTAGGAAAGAGAGGGAGGATGAGAAGCAGCTGCCCAAAGTGGTAGAAACGAGGGGCCCAGGCCTAGGCCTTGGGAGGGTTCGTGTTTCTTTTTTTTTTTTTTTTTCTAAAAGATGACCGGTAAGGGGATCTCAACCCTTGGCTTGGTGTTGTCAGCACCACGCTCAGGCAGTGAGCAAACTGGCCATCCCTATATAGGATCCGAACCCGCGGCCTTGGTGTTGTCAGCACCGCACTCTACCGAGTGAGCCACGGGCCGGCCTAGGGTTCGTGTTTCTTAGAGCAGGAGGGTCAAGAGGAGTTCTGGAGCCCAGCGTCCAGTCCCACATGGCTGAGCTGCCCTCAGCGTAGCCTTGGGGCCTCAGTCTGCTGGAGCATCAACATGTGTGTCTCTCTCGAGGCCCACATGCCCCTGAGGCCAAAGGTCTCCCCTTCCCACAGCCCCAGTGCACCCCCAGGAGCATCGTGAGCTGGGGGCGGGAAGGAGCCCTGCTGTTGTGACATGTGCAAAGTGGCAGGGATGTGAATATGCCTGAGTCACGGGCTGTCATGGGATGTGTCAGCCTGTACTGTGTCCCCAATCTCCAGCTACCCTGGTTATCACCTCGGTCCCTGGGGCTGCTCCTGCAGACTAAGCCAGATGGGAGTTTTCAGCTCCACAGCAGGCAGGAGGAACTGGTCAGTGCAGGTTCACTTGGGGCCAAGCTGCCCAGCGTCCAGAGTGGGCTGCATCCTGGTCTGATGCTTACAGAAGTGGGGGTGTCAGAGATGGGGAAAGAGATCCCTAAACTGGGGGCAATGAGAGGTGGGGGGGTTCCTGGGCACCCTTCCAAAAGAGGGTGTTCCAGTGGTGGGCATTCAGTTTGCAGCCTCCAGAAGGAGAGCAGGGCATGGGGCATGGCAGTGCTGGGTGAGAGCATGCTCAGAGAGACCACCAGCCCAGGACCCAGGCCAGGAGAGCATGGGGACCTGAACAGGCAGAACAGGGCAGAGCAAGGAGCCACAGGAGGCGCACCCTGGCCTGGGTTGCCTGGATCCTTCCACCTGGCCTGGGCATTGGGAATCAGACAGCTTTGGGGTCATTCCCAGCTTTGTGCAACTTCTGAAACACCTCTCTGAGCTGTGCTTCCCCCACTCCTGGCCAGGCAGTGTGTGAGGACTTCGGACCAGTACTGGGGGCACAGTGCTGGGAACAGCGGGGCAGGACCACCCTCTTCTCTCCCTCCCGATCTCTCCTGTCCCCTTCTCCTAGGGTCAGTCCAGATTATGGGGGATGGGCAGCTGGCTTCTTTAGCCCTACAGTTCCTGAGGGGGGACTCAGCCAAAAATGAGATGCGAGATATTCTCTTCCCGAGGGTCTGCATGTTCCAAGGCCCAGGGTCTTGAGATCCCTTTCAGTAACTCTGACACCAACCCAGTCCCAACCCCAGTGGCCTCCCTCCCCTGTGGATGGCGGCAACTGTCACACCAGGATTAACTTCCTGAGCTACATCTAAGGAGGTCACTGACCAACCTCCTCTTAAATCTGACCTGTCTTCCATCAAGTGTCCTAGGCACCCCTTTCTGCATGACCTTGCTAACTGGGCTGCCGTCCCTCGCTCGCCTATCCATTCATTCATGCATGCATGCATTCATTCAGCTCGCACTCAGAGGCCACACAGCCATGGTGCCGTCTGTACTCAAGGAGTCCCCAGGCCAGGGGGCAAGGCAGACAGACAGGTAGACAGTGATGACAACCCGTGTGATGAGTGAGCCACTGGCGATGCTTTCTCAAGTGCTGGGAGTCCCAGAGGAAGAGACAGGGGCGGCACTCAAACTGAGAGGGGAAGGACGGAAGGGAAAGAGCCTGCAAAGTTGAGGAGCATGAAGGCCTGCCAAGCAGGCAGGAGGACCAGCCTGTTCCCAGGCAGAGAGGGGTGGGGCTGTGGGTCAGGGCTGGGGGGTCTGGAGGTGAGGCTGTGAGGCAGAGTTCCTGGCCTCAGGGCCCAGTGACTTCACTCGCACAAAAGGTAGCTCCTGGGCCGGCCCAGTGGCGCACTGCTACAGTGCGCCGCTTGGGAAGCGCAGCAGCGCTCCCACCGAGGGTTCGGATCCCACATACAGACCGGCCGCTCACTGGCTGAGCGAGGTGCGGGCGCAACACCGAGGGTTGCGATCCCGTTGCCGGTCACGAAAAAAGACAAGAAGGAAAAAAAAAAAAAGGTACCTCCTCATGCAGCCCCAGCATGGCCATCTGTGGACTGTCAGCCTGGAAGCCACCAAGTGCTGGGGTCTTCCCAGGAGCCCCCAGGCCCCCACCGTGCTCCTTGGGTTCATGATGGCCCCCATGCTTCATGATGAGTCTTCCCAGGAGAGCACAGAGGCCACGGCCAGCTCTCCCTGGTTGCACCCTGACCCAGCTCTGGCTCATGCTGACGAGGACAAGACGATGGAGGTAGCAGCCACTGCCTCCCTCCTTTCCCTGGAGTGATCCCAGGAACCTCGGGCTCCTCTGCAGCCTATCCCAGGAGGGGACCTCCCCCAGAGTTCTGCTGCAAACTGAGACACAACACGCCAGGCGCTGAGGCTGAGAATAGTGCGAGCTTGGCCATCTTTTTAAAAAAGCCTCTTTCCCAGTATTAGCTCCTGAGGCGCTTGTCCCTAAAGGGGGAGGCAGCCCAACACAGCCTGCAGCTGCCCCTACCTCTCCTGGCAGGACACTCCAAGCAGGTCCTCCAAGCTCTATCCAGTGAAACGAAGACAGTCACAGGTACCAAGTGGGGGCGGGAGGAGTCTGTAAGCCATGGGGACCAGGCACCTTGGTCGCCATCTGGCCAGATGGGTGGGGCCAGGGCCGGGCGGACCGGCCCTTGTTTGAGCTCCTCAGGGACCTCTTGCCTAACTGGCAGGAAGACCTCAGTCTCCCTGTGAGCTCAGCTTTCTTCCAAAGCTAGTCTGGCTGGAATGTGAGGAGCAGCCGGAGCCCAGCAGGACATTGGACACAAGGATGGGGAGCAGTAGGGCTGCCCCTGTTGGGAGACAGCTCTGACAAGGGTGAGGGAGGACGCACAGGCAGGGCGCTGCCTTGTGACCGTGGATGGTGACATGGGATGAGGGGCTGGTGGGCCTTGGACACACCCCCTCCCAGGCTGCCAGGCACCCACCTCAGCCTGTCCCCTCCCACCTGTGCCTCTCAAAGTCTGGCCTGTCCTCCGAGCTCGCCCCTGAGCCTGGGGGGCAGGGCTGGGACTGTGGGCGCTTGCAAACGTGAGTTCTGGTGGGGGACAGGAAGGGAGCACGAGTGCCCGGGGCATCCACGTGCATCCCCCAACCCAGGCGCTCCACGTGCACACCCGTGGCTGGGAGCGTTTTCAACCTAAATCGGCGCCGCTCCTGAATTATTTCTCCCCCGGCGCCGCCTCCGCCGCCGCCTCCGGATCCTGGCGTAACGGGTGGCTCTCCCCTCCCCTCTCCCCCGCCCCCGGAGCCCTTCCCTACCGAGCTAGGTTTGCCCGGGCCGTCCCCCGAGCGCACCCGCGCCGGGCGCTGTCCGCGGTGCAGTCGGTCCGGGTCC